CAAGGGGAGGTCCTCCTTCCCTTGGACCTCGTCCCCCTCCAGCTATTGACCAGGGGCCTCTGCCTGTACCCTGGGCCTTGGGGAAGGTGTCCCTTTTTCACGTTCTCTTCGCTCTTCAACCACTGCTCTCTGCCCACCACTCAGAGCTCAGCGAAGGGCCTGCTGTGTACCAGGAACAGTGCTAAGCCAGCTTGTGTCCCCATTTGTCCAAACAAACTTAGGTCATTAGCACTGAACTTTTGGACAGTGCTGTGACCTAAGGGCTCCTCTGGATTGTCCATGCTTCTCTGCTCCTTCTTGAGGCACTGTCTTCCTGCACCAGCTGTGGGTTTTTTCCAGGAAAGGTCTCCAGGGGCTCTGACTCTCTGTGAACTAGAGTGCTTGCTCTTTCACATCACAGTAGTTTCCCCTTGGCCTGATGGGATGGAAGCTTTCTGGTTGATAGTAGATGGTGTCTCTTGCTCACTGTGGTATTGGATGGTGGCGCTCAGTGGTGAATACAGGAACTGGATATCAACTCTTTGGCTACCCTTGACACCCAGCACCCTATGCCAGGCCTTGGGAGAACCATCATGTTCAAAGCTCTGTTGGCCTTCCTCTATGTACCATCTCATTTAACCCTCACTCCCCCTTTCCCCTTGTGGACATAGAGAATTATGCTTTACTTTACAGATGAGGACACAGGCACAGACAGGTGAGGTGATCTGTCCAAGGTCACATAGGCAGGCAGTGGCTGTGCCAGGACCTGAACTCAGGTTTCTTCCTATAGTCAGTTGAACAGTGCCCCCCCTCCTCCCCTCCCCCAAAATTGTCACATCCTAAACTCCAGAACTGGTGTGACCTTGTCTGCAAGGTAATAGACCTTGTTCCTTGCAGATGTGATTAAGGATCTGAGATAAGTCCAATGATGAGCATGTGTTGAGCAAAGGAGACACAGAGATGAAGAGGAAGCATAGATGAGTGCTAAGTATAAACCCAAGAAAGCCAAGGCCTGCCTGAAGCCATCAGCAGCTAGAAGAAGGCAGGGAACAGTGTCCTCAGAGCCTGCAGAAGAATACAACTCTGCTGACATTGTTTTCGGATTTCTGGCTTCTAGAACTGTGGAGAATACATTTTTGATGCTTAAAGTCACCTAGTTTGTGGTAATTTTTAACAGCAGCCCTAGAGAACAAATGCAGGCCCCAGTGATATGGCTATGGATTAGGTGTTTTATTGCTTGAAGTGCATGAGGGCTACAAGGGAGTCCTGGGCTGGGCGACTATGGCCTAGTCACTCCCCCTCTCTGGGCCTGATTGCTCTGTAGTAAAATGAGCACTTGGGAGGTCGTGTGCCCCCAACTCTGACAGTCTACCACCCTCAAGAAAACTATGAGCCAGGCAAATAAGGCTATGTTGGGATTTTCAAATTTATTCCAACGTGCTATTTTTTTTTAAAAAATATCCTCAGGCTGAACACTCAGCCAGAGCTGTAATAAAGGCAATTATTATACTTGTAAAAACTTCTCATTCACAGTACAGATGTAATTTACAACAAAGGTCACACACATCAATACTGAGCATGTTTTTCCTTCTGTATGTCAGACGACTCTGTGCTTTAGACCTGCATGAATTTTTTGTTAAGTTTTTTTTTGCTTTTGCACTGATATATACCATACCAACATTGCAAGATGCAAGTGTAGAAACTGGAGTTTAAATAAAATTACAGGCAAAACTACCCCATCCCAGTGCAGTTGCTGTACATATCTACAGTACAATTTTTGGAATGTATTGCCATTTAAGAACATAGAAACTTTCTACGACAATTTCACATACAGAATACATACACCTTTTAGGGGAAAAAAGGCAAATATTTATCTTACAGAGAGCATGTATCTTACATTTGTCTACTGGTTTTCTTTCTTCTGTTTCTTTCCTTTTTCTTTAACGCTAGATTTAGTAAAGTGATCGTAAATGCCGAAGCGGTTTGCTAATGGGAAGCAGACTAGATTCACAACACGGAAGCAGATTTTTGTGGCACGGGCCTTCAGGAACTTTATCCTCTGGGCAACAAGGTACATCGGTCTCCAAGGAGGACAGCTCACCCAGGACTTTTGCTTAAGAAAGATTCGTCTGGAGTAAGGACTAGAGAGAAATTCAGCTCAAATGTATTGCTTTTTCCTGTTCCAAAGGGCAGAGTGGGAATGGAGCAGCGTCTACAGGAACCTGGAAGCTAATTCTTCAGAGGTTTTTTGACTGAGGAAAGCAGAGGGACTTCTGAGTCTGGGAGAGCAGGCAGCTTGCTGCTGTCAGGCCCCTGGAGGGTCTTGATGGCTAGGACCAGAATGTAAGCTATGGAACAGGGCAGGACAGGACAGCCTGCCCTTGGAGAGTCTATGAGGTGGCCCAGCATGAAGGGCATCTGGAGGGCAGGCCTGGGGGACAAGTAACCGGGAACTCTCAGCAGAAGGCAGGGTTTGGCTTGAGACCTTGGCAAGTTGTTCCTTGCTCACTGCCACACCAAAGGACCAGAGCTAGTCTGTAGCAAGGAACGGCCATCTGGCACAATGTCGACAGAGCCGAGCACAGGTTGTCTGTACCTACAGATCAGCACTGCTTCCTGCTGCTGCTGGGGTAGGGACAAGTTTCAGAGGCAGACTAGAAACTTGGAAGTGGCTGGGAGTGGACAGGGGGCCCAGAAGGTGTGCATGAAGTGAGTTTTTCCAGATTGGAAGGGTACACATGTGACCCGGGGGCGCTGGGCTCAGGGGAGGGGGCAGAGTCTGACAGTGGGATAGAGCAGTTTCTGGTATAGCATCGATTTTGTCCCTCTGGGCATCCATGTGGGGCAGCAGCCCTTTGTTCAGACTCTTGTGTATTTTGTCCTTGTCCTGTAAAAACATGTCTCGGGTGACTGTGGGGACCGAGACACACCTTCCATTACGAGGCTGCTCAGGAAGGGGACCTTGGTGTGTGGGCTGAGTACAGGGGGAGTGATACCCAAGAGAACAGGGTGGTGTGGAGGGCTGCGGGCCACCCCCAAGGTCAGGGGCCAGTCCCGTAGTAGAGGCAGGAAGATCTTGCCTTGGAAGGCTCTACCCTAGGCAGAGGAAATGCCCTTTTTCCAGTTCCCAAGCCTCAGCTTTGGAGTCTCCAATCTGTGGCCCTCACGGGTTAGGGGTGAAAGGCAGAGAGAAGTGCCATGGCCTCTGGCCTATGATTATGAGCCACACCCCTACCATACCCAGACAGAACTGGTACGGTCCACGCTGAGCTTGCTGGCTTCTTCCAGGTGGGCAGGAACTCTAGATTGAATCAAGTGGCTTAGAGCTATACGCTAGCCTGACTTCTGAGCGTCCTGGAACACAGTGGATCCCCAGGGAGGCCCTGTCCTATTGACTGTTTTGTCAAAGCTGTGTGCAAGGCAGGGACTGAACAAGGAGGTCTGGCTAGAGGCTGGACCTGTGGCTATTGTGCCCATCCTGCAGGGACCAGGCAGGAAAAGGCCCTGAACTAGAGGCAGAGGGAAGGATGGCCAAGCACAGGGAGCTCACAGATGTGTCTTAACCTTCCCTACCTGACTGTTCCTGGCTAAACAGCTCCCCAGCTCCGGAGCCCTCAGACAAGCCCTCTGACCACACAGCTTGGCTGAGTTCTAGGACTGACCAGATAGGTTCCTGCTCTGTATAAGGTGGTTTCAACCCTCAGTCTGGGTGGGATATCACCATGGTTCCTATGCTTTCTCCTTCTTGTCAAAAGTAAAGAAAATCATTTCTGGAAGGTTGGGGGAAAAGCCACCTCTCCTAGATGGAAACAGGAACCATAAATGTCTGTACATAAGAGTGCTTGCTTTTACATTTAATTATATGGGGTAAACATACTGGAGGCCAAGTTGCATATTTCAACTTGGGATTTAAATTTCTGGTCATATCACTTTTCCTATAAAGCAGGCTTTTGCCCCCAGAAATGGAAAAAATTCAAACGACTTGGGGCAATTCACAAATCTTCTAGGTCAAGAGGAAAGAACCTGAGGAGGCTGGAGCAAAAAGCAAACACTATCTTCTCTTTCTAGATTTTCCTGTGTGTATGTACACAGACTTGCATATGTAATCCATCCATGAAGGAAGTGGGCCTCTTTTGTCCCAGGGACCACAGTGAAATAAAAACCCAAACCCCAGGCTCAGAAACAGTCCCTAGGCTTGGGCTGGGTCACTTTAGCCTTATGGGCAGTGCTGAGCATAGAGGAGGTAGCCCATGGCCAGAGCCAGGAAAGAAAGGTTTAGGTCAGGTGTTGGGGAGCCAGGTGATGGTTAAGTCTCCTTTATCAGCCCAAGGGGCTGGCAGGGTGAGGAAAGAAGGGGCCAGGGCCACTGAGGCTTGCCCACCTGTCATGTGCCAGGACAGGCCCACAACTCAAGACTACCTAGGGTCTGGGAACCTTGGGGAAACCAACCAAGCCCCTCCCTTCTATCTACTCCTATTATTTTGTACAAAAATCCTAGCAAAATTAACTTTTGGTTCTTTTTCCTGCAAAGAATAAAACAAAAAAGAAGATGATTTGGGGGGGTGGTCTCTGCCTGCATTTGGTCCCCTGCCTCAGGCCACTGGTCCTTCTGTTGGCATAGAGGAGGGATCACTAGTTGGGGACAGGTACAACAGCAATGATTAGGAACCAGAAACCTCTGTACATAGGAGTGCTTGCTTTTGCATTTAATTATATGTTTTTTAAAAGTTTTTTTTTCTTTTCCTCAGTGCATTCCCATTCCTCAGCAAACAGCTGCTTTTTGCTGCTGGCTGCAGTGGTGTGGTGAGAAGGGCCCTCCACAGCCTTTCTCCCAAAGCACAAACTACTCACAGCCTCAAGCTCCTCTTGGGTCTATTCTGTTTTTTACGTATGTGTGTGTGATTTGTTTTTGTTTCTTTTCAAGCAACAAAAGGTCTAGAAAAAGGCACAGGTAACTGCATACATGGGGAGATACAACAGATGGGGGGTTGAGCAGAAGCTGCGTGGACAGATGGACAGATGGGAGAGGGAGCTCATGGGAGCACAATGGCTCGAGGAAGTTGGCTGGAAACGTCTGTTGCCGAGCACTGGAAGCCAGATGCTGAAGCAGCTGGAGAGAGGCTAAGTGCTTGGGGGACCCCTGTCCTTGGGTGGGGGTGGAGGTACCCTGGGCTCCCCACTACCTGAGGGCTCAGGGGAGCTTTGCCTGGTCCTGGGTTCCCCAGAGAGGTTCCTCCTCCGGGCTGGGAAGCGAGTGGAGGCATCTGCCAGGCAGCCCATGGAGTTGCTGCGGTCCAGTGGAGGGGAGGCAGAGGCTTCAGGGTTGGCCAGTGTGTGAGATGACTCCAAGCGGGGGCTCCAGGACTGTGCCACTTGGTGGCCCTGGGGCAGCTGTGAGGTACAGGGACTGTGTGCGGGCGTGGGCTCCATGGGCACCTTAGCCCTATGGGGCTCCCAGTCAGGAGGTCTTCCTGGGCCTCTGCCTGTCCTTTCCTTCTCCTTAGGGTCGTTTCTGCCTTCCAGCTCCGAAGACAGTGTGAACTTTGAGACCTTAGCCACAGGGGACACGGAGGCTGATGAGCTTTCAGTGGGACTCCAGCGGCCTCGCTCTTGGGCCTCCCGGGCTCCTGTCAGATCGCTGCCTCCCCCTGAGAAACCACTGATCCAGGATGCAGAGGGTCCTGGGAGCAGAGTGGGATGGGCCCCTGGCCGGGTCTGCACCATCTGGATCCCACCGATGGGAATCAAGGGGCACAGGGAGCGAGTCAGGTGCTGGGAATGCAGAGGCAAGTGGCTGAAGACGTTCTCCTCTGTCCGGGCCAGGATGTGACCATGGAAGTCATGGGGAGTGGAGAAGAAGGGTCGAGAGGAGAAAGGATGAGCAGGGCCAGGTGAGCAGGATGGACTTCGGGACTCGGCCTTCTGCTGGGGTCAGAAAACGAGACAGGGGAAGGTGAGGGTTACACACTGGCACATAGAAGGCCAAAGTCTAGAGGCTCAGGGTTGGACTGGCCTGAGATCACTGAGTGCGGCCAGTGGAGTTGAGCCAGAATCAGACTTTCTACTTCGCTGCCCAAGGCGCTGCCCAATGGCTCATCCCTGACCCTACCTACGGTGACCATGGGCATACTCTGGCCCCAGTTGTCACACCCCTGGCCAGAACCTCTGTGGGATGGGATGCTTAGGAGAAGGGGTGCTGTCATCACCCTGGCCTGCCTTCCATCTTGGCTCTGCTGCCTCTTCTGCTCCCAGAACGGTCTTGACCCAACGTCACCCTTGCACAGGAGTTCCCACCAACAGCAATGTTCACGTAACCCCCAAATTAACAATCAAGAAAGATGCTTCAATGAGTGCTCCTCTGGGGTCATGACAACACGGGACAGAAGTGTCAGCAATGATGGTGTTGTCAGTGGTGTACTGTGGCAGCGCTGGTGACAGAATGGTTGTAGTGCAAGATAGCATGACATCAGGGTAGGTGCCATGTTGGTGATGGGACACCAGAAATCAGTGGTGGCAGTGGGTGCAGTGGGGACAGAGGCAATGTTGGCTGTGGTGACTGCTCATGGTTGACAGGAATGGTGTGGGCTGTGGTATTCCTGATGGGATTGGTACAGTGACATTGGATATGGTGATGATTTTAGTTAAGCTTTACCATTTGTTCAAAGAATACAAGTGGATAGGGGTGGGATGAGGTGGGGACTGTGCATATATTTGCACCCATGTTCAAGGTCACACCACTTGCTAGGGGTAGAACCCAGACCTATGAGCTCTGAAGCTCATACTTACTGCTTTTGAGGGTGCAACAAAGTATAAAACCATTTGGTTTAAGGCATGAGGCATGATGCTTGGCACAGAGGGGCCCAAGAAATGTTTGCTCAATAATTACTGAGCTGGTGGAGTTGTCCAACTCTGGGTGTGAGGCTCAGAGGTGTGAACTTGTAGCCCCCAGTCCCCAGGAAAGCCATGGTGGGAACTCACCCATGAGGAGGCGCAGGTCTCGGGGCTTCTGCCAAGAAGCTTGTGAGGTAGAGGCGCGGGCAGGAAGAAAGCCCGCGGAGCTGGCCCCAACCCTGGGCCGTGCTCACCCGCTGAGGAGCTGCTTGGCCCAGCCAGGGCCCACTTCCCTGGCAGCGCTGACTGTGGTGGTGACCCGGCCTGACCCGGAGACCATCTCCTGGTGGGCGAGTATCTGGGAGCGCATGGGTCTGTGGCACCCTCGAGTTTGGGGGGTTGATGCGCTTGAGGGGGTACTTCTCTTCCCACGGGGTGGGTAGTGGGAGGACACAGATCCAGTCTTGGAGACCCACAAGGAGGAGGACCCATGTCCCTTCCCAGGCCTGTCTGGAGGCCAGGCATGCTCATGAGGGAGGCCTGTGGTTCTTGGGCCGGTGAACATCGTTGGGGAGATGAGTCGGTTTTGGTGAGTGAGTGTTTGCGAGTGAATGGTGTGTGGCTTCCTGCTTCTTTGCTTGGGGACCATGACCTGCTAGGAGACATAGCCTTGGAGCTCAGGGCTGAGCTTGTGTCCTTCTCCACAAGGCCCAACGGGGCCAGTCCCAGCCAGGGAAGGCATGGGATGCTCTGGCTAGATGTGGAACAACTGCTGGCTGTCAAGTACTCGGCTTCTGAGACCGAGCTGCCTCGTGTGGCCTCATTGTCAGAGGTGGCATTTGAGGACTGAGGGCCCCGAACAGGAGAGGAGTCTTCCCGAAGTGTGGCTGGTGGCCTGGGCGGGGGTGCCTCTGAGGATGGCCCAGACAACTCATCCTGACTCTCCTCCTCATCCTCTTCTTCATCTTCGTCCAGGTCCGAGTCTGAGTCAGAGTCCTCAAGGTCAGAAAACTGGTGCTCCTCCACAGCCTCGGAGCCCTCTCGCCCTTCTGAGTCCTGGAACATGTCATCACTGGTTCCTGAGGGGAGAACACAGGAGATCCAAGGCCACAGTTGGCCCCTGGGACCACACTGACCCCAGGCTGCTTCTCACTAAGTCCCGTTTCCTCATCTGCCAACTCAGCATAAACCCATGGCAATGCAGGCAACCGGGTGACGTAAGAGATATGAACACTGTGTAAACAATAGTAAGTGGCCATCGCCTCCTAACTAACTACGAGGTACAAGTTCAATTCTAAGGGCTTTAGGGACATTAATTTACCTAGTCCTCAAAGAACCCTGGGAAGATGGTTCTATTGTTATGTTCATGCTGTAGATGAGGAAACTGAGGTAAGAGGGATCAAGTAACTTGCCCAAGTAAGGTAGTAGAAGGTCTGAGACTGAACTGCAGCAAATAAGACAGCCTGCTTGTTTTCATCAGTATCTCCATGCTGGCTTCACCTGATGCTAATTATGTTGCCTTGCTGTGCCTCAGTCTCTCCCTTTATTAAAGGAACAGAAGTCTTATCTCACAGGGCTTTCTAGGAGGAGAAAATGCAGGCCTGGCACCTACCAAGGGACCAAATAGTGATAGTCACTATGGGTCCACTAATGTTGAAATCAATCTATTATTCTGAGACAAGGCAGGCTGGCCAGCTCAGTACACAGAGTGATGCTCAGTGCAAGCACATGGCTGCCAGGGTGACCAGGCTATGCCTGGCTGGTACAGCAGCATTTGGCAGGTGGCAGAGTCTGGTGTCTATGGGTGACTTGGCTAAGCTGGCCCTAGGCAGAAGGGCAGGGCCAACCCCTACCATGCTCTTGCCCTGAGGAGCCACTGCTCAGTGGAAGCCTGTGTTGCTTCCAGTTGGGGAGAGAAGCTCTGAAATAACAGATTCCTGGTGTGGCTTCTTGTGGGGCAGCTTCCACCAGATGGGTCACCTCTAATAATCTAGTTGAGTGCTGCTAGGGAAACCTCTGCTAATGTCTGGCCCACATGGCAGGCTCCTGAGGGTTTGGGTCCTGCTGGCCTTTCATGAGACTGCTGTGACCTCATGTTTCTAGCCTGCAGAGTGTGGGCTTGGTGACAGGTGGGTGGAGCCATCAGCCAGTCCCATCACCTGCATCTGCCAGTACTGCAGCCATTACTGACTCAGAGAGCCAGACCCAGCAGCTGACTCAGGTCTCTGGTGCCCCTGAGTTTGGATCTCTACCACATCTAGCTGCCTTAGAAAGCCCAGCATTAGTACTTGTGAATAACTAGATGCAGCAGAAAGATGTCCAAAACAGACAAAGTGGACATTCAGAAAGATGTAGGTAAAACATCTATGGGGTGGGTCAGGGGCTGGCAGGCAAAGGGAGGACCACAAGGCCTCCCAATACCCAGGTCAGGGTCTCTTGGCAACTGGGAGCAGAAGGACCAGGGACATGAAGGAAATGGGACATTGGGACGGGAGGAGGGATGGAGATGAGGGTCAAAGTGTTGCAATTTGGCCACAGGCATTTTTTCTTCTGGTCTAGGACTTTGGCAGGAGCCTACTGTGGCCCTAAGAGATACCTAGCTCTGCCCCTCATTCATGTATGGCAAAACTCAGGCATAGAGAGGACAAAGATAGACCCACGATCATCCAGTGAGTTCTTGACTGAGTCAGAACAAAGGTTCACAACCCTTGCATTATTACGCTGACAGCTTAAAATGATTTTGTGCACTGAGATGCAGTAAAAGATGACTGGGTTTGAAGCCCCACCACCTCCTTGCTGTGACATTAGCTTACTTTCTCTTTGTGTTCAGCTTGCTCATCTGCAAAATGGGGATAGTAGCAAGCCTTGGCTAATATTTATCTCCAGCCACCCCTCCCCATCTCACAGGCAGGCAGCTGGGGGTGGCGTTGTGAGCATTTTGCAGATGAAAGTAGGAGGAGTGGTGTTTGCTACTGGTGAGGGAGGGTCAGGACCTGCATCTCCTGATGTCCATCAGAAGGGCCACTAAAGACTATCTTTACTGAGAGAAGTAAGGTGGTGGCCTGTCTTGGGCATCCAGTGCATGAATGATGGAAGCCAAGGGTCCTCTGCCTATGACATGCTTTGCCGCACACTCCACATCCAGGATGCTGCAGGGATCTAAGAGATGCCTGTGCTTGGTCGTCCCTTTCCCCTTCGCAATAACTAACATGAAGATGTCTGGCCACTGCTGAGATCAAGGCCAATGCTCAACAAGCTTCATCTGCTCCCACTAACTCAGGGGCCTAGGACAGCAGAAGGAGGACCATCAACTAAAATGCATGACCTGGTGCTGTTGTTGGGACTTGCCACGCGGTGGCGCTAGTACACAGCCTCATCTCCAGCAGGGCAGGGCTGAGATGCTGGGGAGTAGTCCCTTCTCGGTTGTCCTCCCATCTCACTGCTTTGGTCCAACACACAGTAGCTCCGGATGCCCTTCCCTGAATCTGCCTTGACTCCAACCTTCCAGTCTCTTAGGTCATAAATCTCAGAGTCATCTTTGGTTCCTTTACTGCTCATCCTCTCTTTTCCCCTCTATGATATGACAGCAAGACACAGACTCAAAATGTTCCCAGAACTCAGCCACTTCTCACTTGCATTGTGCCCACCTGGTCTGCACAGTTGTGTGCTTGACCTGGACAGGACCGCTGCCTCCCTGCACCCCTGTGGGCGGTTCCCTGCACATAACCAGAGTCCTGCTGGTCAGAGGACGTCACTTGCACTGTGCGCCTCATGCCTGAAGACAGCCCAGTCTGCCCTTGACCTTCTCAGCCCCAGCTGTGGGCCTTTTTTGTTTCTCAACTTGAAATAGGGCAACACAAGTTTACCATACTCTGAGTCCTGATACTAATTTCAGGGACTCTGTGGTCAGAGGTTCGTCACTGCTGGAGATATTACCTAACCACCCACCAAAGCCCCTCTGGCCTCCTTCCTGGATGCTGGGGCTGCCTTTGACTCACCTACTCCTTTCCCTTGCCTGTTTTGAGACTGGCTCTAATTTGCCTCTGGTTCTGGAGGACCATGCCTGGGGTGTGTGGTGGTGGGATGTGGCTGGGAGGTGACAGGGGCTGTCGGATCTGGCTTTGGCTTTCTTGGAACACTTACAGTTCCAAAGGCCTGTAATTCAGGCCCATGCCAGAGCAGGCATGAGCGTGGGTGTGCAGCTTCTAGCGTAAGTACCGACAGAACCCTTGTGGAGGTCTGCTGAGATAATTCAGGCATGTCTTTAGAATGTGCCTGACATTAGTGGGCGCCCAGTGTTGATTGTAATTACTCATGTGTTCATTCACTCAGTAAATGAACACCGACTGCCCACAGGGCACCCGTGCTCCACCTGCACTGGTAGACTGCAGTGCACAATAGCCATGCTGCACAGCATCTGTAGAGAGGGAGGGGGATCATTCTGGAAATTTAACCTTGTTCCCAGTTATTAGGAAAGCTTGAGGGGATATGGAAGGGAGGGGAAGCAGCAGCAGAGAGGAGGGCAGAAGGCAAGGGGGGAGGGCAAGGAGGAAGGCAGAGGATGCCAGAAATGGGGAGGAGGGGAGAAGGAGTGAAGGCAGAGGGAGGAGGCTAGCGATTCCTTACCTTCTTCGGCTTCCAGCTCCTCCAGCACCCCTGTCTCTTGGCACTTTTTGCTGTGGGCTTTCGACTTCATGTGCTTAGTCAGATTCCCTGGAAAGGAATGAAAACAGAGTCAGGCTTGGCTGCAGAGCAGGGGCCCAAGAGGGCCGGGATTCACAGGCAGCACTGAGCTGTCAGGCCACTGCTTCTCAGACCGCTCAGGGCTCTGGTTGCTGCAGGGGCTCGGCAGGGGCCAGGGTACCCCCTGCTTCAGTGCTCATGCCAGGACATGCAGTCAGAACTACAGACCAAGATGAAACACAGGAGCTGGGGTGGGGAGGGTGTGGGGCTGTGAGGGGACAGAGGGTATAATGAGGACGTGAGATGCTGGTTAAAAAACAAATAAAAAAAAAAAAGAAATTAAAAGACCACTCAAGTGTACTTGGTTTTTCCTGCTTCTGATTTAAATCTGGGTCCAGGAACTGGTAACTCAGACTCATTGGCCATCTCAAATGCTGGAATGACATGACGCTCCCAATTGATCAATGTGGTGAGTGGGGACTGAGCAGTCCTCTGGCTTAGGAATGGACAGAGGACCAAAGGTGACAGTAGGGAAGTCTGCTGGCCACACAGGGGAGCCACGGGCTGGGGTACAAGCCCAGCTTCCTTGGAGAAGTCCTCTTTCTGGGCCTCGGTTTCCCCAGGTCAATGTGCGTGCAGACACAGGCTCAGGGTGGTTTGAGGAAGACCTAGGCAAGATTCTGCCCTGTGGCATGCTTACAAAATCTTCAGGGGAGGCTGACTCTGTCCTGAGTTGTAGGCTCAGCCCCACAGTCTGGGGAGCAGGGACCACACCTCTGAGGGGCCAGGGCAACAGGCGCAACAGCTTCAGTTTCCCCCAATGTGCGATACTTCATAGGTCACAGAGCGTTGTGACCACCAATGTTCTGGGAGGAGAGGCCGAGCTCCCGGGCCTGCCTGGGGAAAATGCAGGCAGATGCCTCAGGATGTTTCTGTGGGCCCAGAAGCTACTCCCAAACTATGCTCTGAAGATTGTTGTTTTTCCATATGGCCAATCGCATAGTAAATTGTAAGTGTCCTGAGTGAGGGGCTTTGTCTCATTGGTTTTATTAAGTGATAAATTTGAATGGATAGATAGAAGAGAAGTGAATGGAAAGAGGAAAGGCTCCTGGAATGGATGTATAGAGAGACTGGTAGATGGATGAATGATATGCGGCTAGAGGAAATATGGGACGAGTAGGAAGAAAATAGACTGATGGACAAGAATACTGGATGAGTAGATAAGCAAATGAATAGACAGATGGGGGTAGATGAGTGGGTAAGAAGATAAATAGAAGGAAGGATGGAAAGTGGATCAGTAAACAGACGGGAGGGATGGGGAGTTGGATGATAGGAGAATGGCTGGTTGGATGGGTGAATGGATGCCTACATATATGAGTGTATGGGAGGCCACACAGGAAGATAAAAGAATGAGAAGTTGGATGGAAGGATGGTTTGGAGAAAAAAATCAGAGAACATGAGGAACAGACAGGATGAGACAATCAAGCAGAAAAGAAATGAATTGGAAGACTGTTAAGATGAGAGGGTGGGAGAACTGGATACTGGGAGAAGGGATAGGTGGATGGGTGAGCAGGGAGAGAGCCTATGGCTGAACCAAAGGGTGCTGCTTTACCTTCCTGAGAATTTTCCAGATTTTGTGAGAGGTTGAGAGAGAAGCATAAGCTGGGACTCCTGAGGTCATGACCTCAGGTCATGAGTAGGGTGACAAGGACGTGAGAGGAGCTCTCTTCTTTCCTCCTAGCCCACAACCCTCTCCTTTCCAGCAGCAACTAGACAGAAACCTGTTCTTCTACTCTTGACCACAGGCGGAGAAGAATCATAACTTCCAGAGTCATTTTTGTGGTCAGGGGATCTCCTAGTCAGCCTTGCAGACCTCTACCCTCACTGTCGTGAGCAGGCAAAGCCTGAGCAGCACAGTAAGGAGGTGGGAAAAGGCAGTTGGGGTCTTCCATGGAGCAGAGATACCAACCATGCTGAGGTTCTGGAGCCTGTGCCCCTTCCCTGACCATCCTAGGCCACAGAAGACATGAGCATTGCTCATTCTGATTGTCACCTCATTTGTCACACATGGTTTGCCTGGAAGGTTTAGGTCTTTACCTATCCAACAGTACTAGACACTAAGCATGCAAAAGGTGTACAACAGCCCTTGTACACCTTTCGGGAAACATCGCAGGAGAAAAGTGTTGGGAGGAACCTCGCAGACCATGAAATTCAACCCCAACTAGGCGAGGCTTGTGCCCTCTGCTGACCTAACTCTGGGCCCAGGTGCTGATGACACCATTAGACAGGATCCCTGGCTGTCCTGGGTGCTGGCAGAGTTCCCAGTAACCAGCACAGTGAATCACCTGGCCCACAGTCACTGTCTCAGGACCCTGGGGTAAAAAATTGAAACATGATCGTTTAGGAGCGTGAAGGTCTCAGTGTGAGCCTGGGCTCCGCCACTGCTAGCGGGGTGCTGCTGAGCCCCACGTCTATAACTATAAAGTCATAGCCACCTTATGGAGGGAGCATGTGAAGATGTAGCACATGTGGCAGCAGAGCAGCTCCCACCCCTTGTGACAACTGCTGTTTGTTGAGCTCTCAGGAACTCTACGCATGCAGGGTGTGGAGGGATTGGTGCTCAGATAATGTCCAGGGTGAGATGGTTTCACCTTTCAGCCTGGGCCTGGGGGGGGGGCTCTCTGAAGAAGGCAGGAGGGAGTCCCTACCCGGAAGGCCTGCCCCTCCTCTGTTCCACCCCCTACGGGTTGCAGGGAGGAAGCAGACAGTTGGAGGTGATTGCAGGTCACAGCAGCGGATGCTGGGTAGCAGCCCTGAGTGTGGCCTGGCTCCCTCCATGCTTTCCCCTCCTAGCCCTGCCTCCTCCTAGATGGAGAGGTGGAGCAAACTGCCACAGGCCTAGCCTGGCCACCATTCCCCAGTCAGGGCAGAGCCTCAGCTTGCCAGGCAGAGTCCCCATCTTCTCACCATCACCTTAGCCCTCACTGAGAGCTGAACAACCCTGGAATAGAGGAGGAGGCAGGTTAATGGAACCATGGGATCTGGAAGAGGGGAGAACGTCGCTAAGAGCATCAGTCAATTAACCCACTACGGCCTCATGGACATGGGCCTGTCCACAGCTGCCATCTTTGTCCTCCGAGGCAGTCGCACAAAGGTCTATATACATGGTACAGCCACCAGCTGGCCTCTGCGAATGATCTGAGAAGAGGGAACAGACCCTCCATCGGCCAGCCCACAGCTCCACCCTGTCCCAACCATCACCTTCTGAGACCATTCTTGGGTAGCTCCCAGAGGCCTGAGCTGCCACCTTGACATCTGACACAGAGACAAGACACAGACAGACAGACAGACAGGAAGGGTCCCTAGAAACAGGTGCAGACAGGAGGTGCTGACAGGGGACCTGAGGCCCACTAGGCCTAGCCTCAGAATTCATACAGCCTGGCCTGAGCCAAAACTCAAGAGTGAGAGGCAAGAGAGGTAGAGGTGGACTGGGGGATAGGCAAGTAGCCCCCAAGAGGAGAGAAGGGGCCCTATGTTATAACAGCTGGTGACTGACAGGGTCCAGCACCTTAGAGCCATGGCTCCAGGGAAGGCCAGGAGATCCAGCATCCTGCTCTTCCTTCACACCTGATGGGGGCCTCTCTCTGCTCCTGTCTGTTGCCACCCATCGGGTCCCTTGGGGCAAGGCACAGAGTGTGAGATTCCACTGGTTCACATTTACTTCTCTCTGGCTTAGGAGGGACAGTGGAGGAGTAGCTCAGCGTGCTCATGACATCTGCCTGAAAGCACAGCCTGGCCTCCTTCAGGGGACCTCCCTACATCCCTAGAAATGTGAAGGCCCCACAGCTCTTCTGCTCAAATTCTGCATTTTGGACCCTCTGGACTCTGTGGTTGCTTAAAGAGATCCAGGGAAAGGGCTGCAGGCAGCAGGGTGTGGGTTTCAAGGAAGGTGCCTCCTGCGCAGGGGGTTTGGGGGGGATTTCCTGAGGACCCCAGACTTTCCTCAGCCCTGACAGAGGAACAGAGTGGGAATTCAATGGGGTAGGGTTTTCCTGCATCACATGGCAGAGGAGGCAACTCCCCAGGACTGGGTGTTAGACACGGGTGGTCTGTGCATGGCTGGAGCTGGAAGGCTCTCTTGGCATCTGCATGCAGAGCAGTGTGGTCCCCTGAACACATGCCAGGAAGAGGGGAGGCACTTGGAACCCACTCAAGGCCACATGATACAGCTTTTTATTGCCCCTTGAAGAGGAGAGAGGAAGATGAGGGTGTGATACCCTTGGGTGGGAGCTCTCTTTCTGGTTTTCGGGGCTCACTTTCTTTACTTTCATAGGACTTGGACAAGAAGTTTTCTACTTTTAGAGTTGAAGGCTGATATCTAAATTGTCCACCAATTAATCCCATCTCTCTCTTCCATGAAATCCCAACTGGCCTGGAGGGGACATGTGAGGGACAAAGCCTGTGTCCAGGGCCAATGTATGCCTGTCCTGGGCATGGCGGGGCTCTGGGAATAGACAACTTTGATGCGCCTGTGGGATAGGATGAGGACTCCAGGCCTATCTGCCTACTCTGGGAACCCTTTGAATTTCTGAGACCCAGAGAGGAGAGGATCAGGAAAAGGAGGTGCAAGAGTGGACACTTCCCTCCAACCCAAAATTTGAGCTCAGCTTGAAGATAATAATGAGAGGACAGAGGAGGATAGGGTTCAGCTAATATGTCAGGCAACCAGAAACAGGAACTCAGCCAGAGAGGAGGCCACTGAGTTAGGGGATGTGACAAACTGGTGCCTGGCCTAGTTCAGAAAGAACAGAAGGCTACAAGAGGCCGGAGGCTCTGCTGGCAACTCTATGCCCAGCGTCTTTTTGCTGGGAGCAGTTTTACCAACAGAAGAAAGGACAAGTGGCAAAGCCCTTGCGTTTTGTCCCTTGAGAAACCTCTCAACTTGCTCAAAGAAGGCAGGAGCCTGTGTGCAAATTCTGACCCAGGTATTTAAAAGTACAAGAGACTGAAACCACCGGGGGTGTCAAGACCCTGGTCTCCCTTCAAGGCACCCCATTCTGCTCAGCTCCAAAGGGCAGTGAACAAGTGCAGGGCCTCCCTGCAGGGCAAAAGTGCCATCCAAGAATTTTATGGGCCCACCTCATTTAGCCCACCAGGGCCGAACGGACTGCAGCAGGCCTGACCGTCATCACCCATCACAGCTCTCTGGGATGCTTCCCTCAACAGCCTGTCCTGACACTGAGGTGGGGTGTGGCTGGGGCAGAAGTTACATGCTGCCAGTCTGGGGGTGGGGGACAGCTAGGCCTTGAGCTAAGAACTGCAGAGAAGCTGGGTGGAGCAGAGGTGCGGTGGGAGCGGTGAGGTAGAGGCAGGAACTCTAGCATGAGACGGACCATGTGGGTGTGCTGAGTGGCTCAGAGTGGAATGGATTTCCAAATGCAAGTGTGGCAGTGATGAGTGCAGATGCTGGAGGTCGTCAGCTCAGTGGATAAACAGCTAAGGAGACATGCAAAAGGAAGGCGTGGTAAGATAAATAGGAAACCGAGAACTGTGGGCCACTGTCACCAGGTGGGGGTGATGCAGGAAGGTGCAGGCGTGGGGAGGGCTGTGTGCAGGATCCAAGAGTACCACTGGGGCAGCCATGGGGTCCCACTGCCCAGTCTGGAGCTGCTGCTCTACCATGGGCACCAAGTTGGGTGGGAGCCTAGGATATGGGGGTGCTCCAGGCTCTAAGCAAAGAGGTGTGAGCCAGGGCTCCCAGAGGGGAGCACCCTGCAGTAGGCAGGTGGTGTCCCAGCTGACTGTCTCTTACCTTTGGTTTTAAAAGCAAAGTGACAGTGCTTGCACACATAGGGCCGGACGTCAGTGTGGGTGCGGATGTGTTTCTTCAGCATGCTGGGCTTCTTGCAGCGAATTCCACACTCCTCACAAACATATTTCCCTCGACCGCGGCCTCGCACATATACATACTCTTCGTTTGATTTGTACCTATGAGCAACAGGCGTCATGTAAAGGAAAAACAAAAAAGGAGGAGAAGAGGCAGGTTCCCACCTTGGAAGACGCACGCGCTTCCTAGCTGTATCCAGCCCAGTTCAGACACTGGGAGAGGAGGACGCGGAACCAGAGAAGACCACGGAGCTGGGAAGGATGAGGGACTGTTATCCCAGGGATCGACCGAGGACCCCTGAAGCCCTAGCCCTTGCACAGCTGGAGTGCACCTTCCTTTCTCCCCAGAGTCTCAGGTGCTGGTGTTTCCTCCAGTGAAGCGAAGCCATAGGTTCCCAGACAGCCTCCTTCCCACAGCCAGCCCTGGCCATGACTCTGCCACAAAGAACAGCTCCTGTGGGCCCCCCAGAAGTCACAGAGAGTGAAACATCCCTGAAGTAACAGCAGTGGCTCTGGCAGCTGCCATTCACCAAGCACGCCCTCTGTGTTGGACACTTCGCCTGAATGAAATTGCTACTACCTCACAAAGAAGAACCTGTACAACCTCAAGGCTCAGAGAGGGTGAGACACTTACCCAAGAGCTCACAGCCAGAAAGGGACAGAACCACGAACTGAACTTTCCTGCCCTGAGCATGTCCACCTCCCACAGGGGGCAACAAATGTGAAAGCAGTCCATCAGGAAGCCTCCCAGATAGTGCTGTGAGGGAGGTAGGAGGGGCTGCCATCGTTTCCCAGTGGTCCTGTGCTCTCTTCCTCACAAGAGAGCACAAGCTGGAAGCTCTCAGGGTCTCCTGGGCAGCCAGTTAGCAGCCTGCTGGGGTCCAGACCCGTCGTCAGAAGTCCCACAGGCCCAGCTGGGTGTCAGCAAGTCACCTGTGGTCCAGTGCTATCTCTGTGTAGTCAGGGCGTGGAGCCTATAGGCCACAGGTCAGAGGGAAGCCTGGCATCTTATCAACTCCAAGGCCCCAGGTTGCTGCAAGGCATCACGAGGAGGCTAGCCAGCGCTGGGGCAACAGCTGCCCATCACCTCTATGTGATGGGCAGGGGCAGGGGCGGGGGGTGGCAGGAGAGGTAACAGCAGCAAGGATCCCAGGTTGGCTGTTGGGGTCAGCAGCTCAGGATTGAGAGACAGCATAAGGATGGCCTTGGAAGAGTGGCTCTTGGAGAGCAGGTAGGAGTGAATCACCCTATATTTCACACTCACACCCCTCACACTCACTCCCACCCCACACTCACACCCCTCAATGCAGTCACACACTCACTCTACACTCACACCCCTCACACTCACCCCCTCACCCACTCACACACTCCTCTCATCCCACACTCATGCCCCTCACGACCCAGTCACACACTCACTCTACACCCACATCCCTCACACTCAGTCACTCTTATTCACAATCACTTCATGCTCTTTCACATCCTCACCCCACAGTCTCACACCCAGTGTACCCTCAGACTATTACAAAGCCTCACATCCCACACTCAACCCACCATCACATTCTCACTCAGTTGCATACTCACACATCCTCTCACACTACCACACCCCACAATCACACACCCCTCCACACTCGCACACGTCCTCCCACACATCTCCCATTTACCCCGTTCACCCCAAATCACACCCTCAGACACCCCTACATTCACACTGTCACACCTTCACTCACACTCGCATCTCACAACCACACACCCTCAGACACACCTCCTCCTCACTCATACTCTCTCACACACACACCCCATACCCGCACTCACACCCCCTCTCACAGATACTCACAGACACTAACGCACATTAGCACAGGTGGACACTGTTTTTTGGTCACCTAAGATTTGGTCAACTGACAGTCAAGGAGTCTAAAGGGCCCTGTCTTTGCCTTTACAGACTGACCAGTCAGTTTCAGGCACAGTCCTCAGGTGGGGGTGGGGTGGGGAGAAAAGCTTGTCACCGATCTGGGGCAGATGCCATCTTGTGTTCAAGTGGAGGAACTGCAGGCCGTGGAGGGGCAGAGTGGAGAAATGGCTGTTTCGCTATTAAGAAGAGCACCCTACCGCCAAACACAGCTTGTGGGGGGGTGGGGGGAAGGGGAGGGGGGGTAGGGGGCAAAAGGGGGGTGGGGGAGGAGGGCAGAGGGGCGGGGGGTGGGTCATGTCTGACTCCTAAGGGACAAAACTTGACCTTCATGCAGTAGGCCTCTTGGGCCCAAACCTGGATTTTGATTCCCATGTTCTCTGTGCCCCTGGAGCTCAGTCTTCAGGGGAAGCAGGTTGAGAATAGAACCCTTTCCCAGCTGGGAGAAGACAGTGAGGATGGCTTTTGCACTGGAGGCTCCACCTCCACCCGGCACCAGCTTCCACTGGGCCCTGCTTGGCGGGTCCAGACACTCACCCCCTCTGACTACCAAGTACAACGGTATCCTTCAGTGCTGCTGCCCACATAGCCTCCATGCTGATCTCAGATGTTGGTTTCACTCTGCCCACCCCAAGTCCAAAGCCACACTAGCGCTATCCAGTCACTATCCTGGGACCCTCCACTTCTTTCTCCACATCAAACTTAAATGGCACAGGGTCTTGGAAAGGAGGAGGGAGAAAGAGAGGAAAAGAGATGGAGAAGGGAAAGAAAAGGCAGGGAGAGAGAGGAAAGGGCCTCCAGGGGCCTTGATGGGGGCATATACAGAATCATGCCAACACCTGTCACTACCGTAGAAGGTGTGTGCCAATAGCTGGAAACACAAGGGGAGTCTGGGCTGGGAGTGGTTGGGGGCGGTGAGGGGCAGAAGTGGGGGGACTCTTACAGCAATGGCAGGGGTGTTGAACAGCCTGGAGTATGGTAGGCAAGAACATACGAGGCCAGATAGTAAGGGCAGGCTGCCTCAATATGGGTCTTGAGTGCCACGTTGAGTTTAGATTTACTCCAGGTTTTCTTACAGATAAACATAAATTCTCACAGGCAGATGCCTCCCGGGTACCATGGGAATGGCTTAGAGTAGGGAGACTGAGTCTAGATACACATTCTAGGATGGAGACTCAGAGGCATTCTGGGTATGAACTTCAGAGACCTTGGTGGCCAAGGGGATAGGGCAGGGGTCAGCATAAGAGAGAAATTAACATCCAAAGATTTCAACCTGGCTCCCTCACGTGGCACCATTCAAAGAGTGGGAGGGAGGTGACAAGGACCCTCATTTTAGCTGCTGAGTATGAGATGTGCAGAAGTGTCCAGTACACTGCTGGTGATCTGTGGAGGCATGGGTCTGTTCTACAGAATTTTTAGGAGGAAGGAGACCACTCAAGAGAAAAAAGCTAGCTGAGAATGAACGGTGCTGCAGGCAGAGGCCTGGGAGGCCTGGAGGTAAGGGTGGATAGAAAAAATGGAGCCCCAAACTCACCCCAGACAAAGGTAAGAGCAATAGGGAACCAGGAGGAGAGAGCTTAGAGAAGGGAAGGCCAGCAGTTGAAGGCCATGGAGAGTATGAAGATGGCCTCTGAAAGGCCGGGACCTGGAAAAGGCAGCCCTGGTTGGACACCAGAAACTTGTGACTTCCTTACTCATGAAGGTTAGGAACATGGCTTGTCCAGTTTTCTGGTTCCCAAAGGGCCAAGCCCAGAGACAGACCCTGGGGCAACTGGCAATAGTGGAGGCTGGACCCTCCTCCTGCTTGAGGCTGAGCCTCCATCTTTTCCAGTCAGGTCCTTCCTGCCTGTGCAGAGGACCCTTACCATCATCTCTGGCACTTTCCACCCTACAGACACAGGCTCTGTGCTCTCCAGTCACAAACCAACCTGTTTCAAAGCCGCCAGGACCCCAATCCCACTGCAGCTTCAGCTTCCCCTGCTTCCACACACAGTGCAAGTCCAGAATTTGTCTACCCCTCCTCACTACTCCATGGTCCAGCTGTCAAGTTTATGGGGCAGCAAATCCAAAGGATTTAAGGTCTGACCTCCAAAGAGGTCAGACCTTAGCCTGTCTGACCTCTTGCCCACCTTCCAGAGACACCTGCTTTTGGCTTGGCTGATCCTGTCCTCTCACTATGATGGTTCCCTTGTAGCTCTTCTTTGTCCACCCTTTCCCACACTGCCATTCTTCTCATCTTACTTCTTCTCCAGGTGGTGTTCCACTTGGCTGTTAGTGTCTCTCCCTTCTCTTCCCAGTTCTGACCTCTTCCCCTTGGCATCAGCCTGGGGACTTCAGGCCCAAAGGCAACAGGACCAAGTGACCATAGACTGAAACCTCTGAAGCCAAGAGTCAAAATATACCTTCCCCCCAAGGTGCCCAGAAACATGTTCCCAAATTCCTCCACCTGCAGCATCTCCTTTGGATCCCTATCTCAGCCACGTGGTTGGCTAGGCCATCAGTCTTGGCTTCATCCTCGGTGGCTCAGTTTCTTTCCTTCCCCACATGGAGCCCATCACACCTGTCCAATGAATGCTCCAACGTTCATTCTAGGATGTCCATCTCTGATCCTGAGCCAGGCCACCATCCCTCTCTCACACCAGGACTACTTTCTTCCCAAGACATCCTGCTCCTGCCACTATCTTTACACATACCCGTTCAATGCTCCTACAGCTTTCTAGATCCCAAAGGGTCAATCCCTGGACAGACCTGGGGCAACTGACAATACTCTCAGAACAAACTCACTCCTCTACTCAGCCTGCAGGCTCAGGCACCATGTAGCCCTGGATACCATTGCACTGCAGCTCATCTCTCATTGTCCTCGATGCTCCATCATGGCTGCAATTCCCTTCCAGCCATGCTAAATATTCCTGACCTCTGGCCTAACCTGCCCCAGCCCCAACCTCTCTTGGGTCTGATCAGTGCATCTGCTCCTCCAGGGGTCTGCCAAGTGCAGTCCCCATTCTTCCCAAGAGGGTGGAGTCATACCTACTGCATCAGATGGTGCATCCCTGGTCTTAGCACGGTGCCTGGTATCCTGCAAGTGCCCCCAAAATACTCATCAGCTGCACACAGCCTTCTTTGTTCAGGTCTGACCATAGCAGATGCCCAGCATTGACTTTCCTGCTGTACAAGGCACTGAGCACAAGTCTAAGCCAAC